CAAGAGAAGCGTTGCTTTGGAATTGTTTCATAGTCTTAACATCACGCTTTTTTGCTTACCTCTGTTATTTCTTAATTAATAAGTTTCTATTTGGGTCTATTCCATTAAGACGGGGCATTGCGGTGCACAGACTGCTCTAATACAAGTTTGGCTCGAACAGTCCTTTGAAAAATATGAGCTGCTGCTAGCTTAGGCCGATGTCATAGTTTGCGAACCCATCGATTCGCTAAATCGCTCGATTCGCAAACTTTTTCCTAAATGGAAGTTGTAATTAGTGACAACTGATAGAATACAACTGCAACAGGCTAATCATTTCATTGGCAGAAAACATTTACATTTTGTGGAGGCCGTCGTCACTTGTGGTGTATGGTCTGCACCCGACGCTTTTCTCTTTTTTTTTTGAAAGAGGAGTATATGTGCTTTTGTGTCTTATGACATGAACTTCTATGAACAATGATATTCACCTAATGAGCAGCTAGGACTAAGCCTTGGAAGAGTAAATCCCCGATGAAAACGAAGATTTCCATGCTTTCTGAGGCTTGGTTCTGAGCCTTTACACGGGGACAATATGCAAGCCGTGGTTTTAACACGCTGAGCGCTCAAAACCGCATGCCCCTCCTTACTGTGATAGGCCCTTCTTTTTATAGAGTTTTTGCTACTTTACATGTACTTTTGTATTTTTTTCTGTAATTCTGTCTGTACTGCATTGTGTCTAACAGCTGTTGGTCTACTAATGTTATCTGTCGGGTGTGGTTCGCTAGGACAGAAAGCGAATTCTTCGCAGCGCGGAACATTTTTCGCTGCGGGAACCTCAGGTCCACCTTGATCATCAGTGGACCCGAGGTTCCCGCAGCGAAAATCAGTGGACCCGAGATTCCCGCAGCGAACAATGTTTCGCGCTGCGAACGCGAAAAAGTCGCTTTCTGTCCTAGTGAACCACACCCTTAATCTGTCTACTAGAAAGTTTACTTTATCAACTTCTTGTTTTTTTTCAGAGTCTGACCTTATATTCTTTAAATGCTTTCTTTGAATTACTTGTTGTGTTTCCCTTTGTTAGTAGCAATACTATAATGGTTATAGTAACTATTTTATTAATAAATCGCGTTGAATCAGGTAATCTCGGTGGCAGAATAGTATGGCTATTCAAAACTTACGTCAGTGATATTTGAAAGTGTATTCTGAAATCAAAGTGAAGTTTCTGCATAGATTTTGGTGCTAACTTAGTTGGGGGGGGGGCACGCGGCGGCGCGGCAGTCTGCTCACCTGGGCTCTCTCGAGCGAGACAGTGTAAACTCGAACATTCCAGCTTTTCACGCATGTCAAGTGACTGCCCCCACCCCCCTCGTATAACTTCGTATAATGTATGCTATACCAGGCGAGCACACTGCCCGCGCCGACCGCGTGCCCCCCCCAATAAGGTTAGACCGGAATTTTTACCGTTTAGCAAGTATATCATCCTAATGAAAGGCTGTTGGCTGTAAACCAATCAACTGCCGGAGGAGGTCAAGGATGGGTGCCGTGTATCCAATTTGGAGGGTATTCGAGGTCGCTCGTTATCAAGACAAAAGGAAAGAAACTTTTGGAGAAGCTGAAAACTCGATTCCCCAATGAACCACACTGACCCGGTTAGGCCACCAAGTTTTCTATCCTCCGAAGACCAGGTTACCCGTGTGTCGATGCAGAATGGAAAAAATTGCGGAACCCTTACCATCTCGAACTTCGTACCAGCTCATTTTTACACAGTTTGGCAGCACGGTTGACCCTGGCTGAAACCGTCCCTTCAGCATTTGGAGCATTTTCAGTTTTGAGCAAGAACATTCTCAAAGGCACGTTGAGAAACAGATCCCCCAGAAAACTTGGGACCAGGGTCAATCCTAGTAACAACCGGGGTTGTAATATGGTTGAGTTGTAGGGGGGGGCGGTCGTAGCGCGTTTTCAGGCGACTTGCGCATCACTGTGAGTTTGAGGTGAAACTGAAGTTTTTATGGGTAGGTAGGCTGGGTGAGTTGAGGGGCGCAGGAAAAAAAATTTCCGTTTCAGCGCGCCCCTCTCGACGGCATTTTCGGAGGAAAAAGTGGGCGGAGTTTGGTGGGTTGAGTGGTATCAGAATTAAATACTAGTAGATAGGATCGAGGTTGGGTGGAAAAGGGGGTCGTATCGAAATCCACCTTGGGGGAGGGGGGTCGTAAAAAATTTCAAAAAAGTAACAACGATAGGGTTGACCCTGCTTGGGACCCATATAAACAGAATTGCTTTGAATGCATAAGGGATCATTGGATGAAGTTGCTGTTGGTGGAAATTCAGTTTTCCTTGGCAGAAAGTGATGAGAAGACTGCAGGCAGAAGCGCCAGCACCCTGTCAGTTGGCCCAACTACGGTAGCACCTAATCCAAATTTTCGCGCATCTGAAACTTCAGTGTGGGTTTTCCCTTTACTCTTCACGTTTTATCTTTACCTAAGCGAGCTATCGTATTGAGGAGCGAAGGCTCGCTAGGTTTCATAGTAGTTAACACTTGTTCACGGTGGTCACGCTTGTACGCTTTTATTTTCATGTTGCACGAGTTCATTGCAGAATGCGTTTATTTGGCATACTACAAATGGAGGAGAACCTGGGCGAAAATCGCTCCCAGGATTGGTATAAGCTGCAGGTAGGCCTATAGCACTCTCCATTCATCTTATTCGTCGATTTTACCCTCGATGATAGCAACACGTCGCTGTGATGCAATATGTTCCAAAAATCGCGGAAGGGATTTTGAGAAGAATAGAGAGTTCCCAATCTTTTTCTTTCTTCATTTCATAGCACATTGAGAGTGTGGTTCGTTAGGGCAGGAAGCGACTTTTTCGCGTTTCACGCTGCGAAACGTTTTTCGCTGCGGGAACCTCAGGTCCGCCGCTGTTCATAACTGGACCTGGAGTTCCCGCAACGCAAAATATTTCCGCTGAATAAAAAATAAAATAAAAATATTTCGGTGCTTTCTGTCCACTGAACCGCACCCAGACATTGAGATTGGCTCACAATCAGTTTTGAGCTAAAATTGCTTTGATCTCAAATTGCCTTGGAAATCGATTGAGCTTCTTATATTTTTGGTTGTCTTGCCTTTGCTCTGATCCTTGGTAGGATGCCATTTTTTAAGTCACGTAATTTTTCTTGTGGGTATATTTGTAGTAGTGAGGTTCGGGGAGGGGGAGTTGTAGGGTATGTAATGCAGGCAATCTGCATTAGAAATCTGTGATTCATATACAAGCACGAGCAAGTGTGCCAAGCTGATAGCAAGATACGAAGATATGAGAACAGCGGCTGGCAGCATCCCTGCAACCGTTTGGCGCAATCGACATTGCTAGCTAATCGTCTAGCGGCTCTTCGCAAAGTCTGATACCTGACTCACATTTGGTGAGAGAGCGCTAACAGGCATACTTGTGTGCTCTCTGCACATGCACTGGTCGACCTCTGTACGCGCGTGTGTGCTACGAAGAGGGCATACACAAGCAATTGCCACTAGAACCTGAATATATTGTTTTGATCGTGTTCTTCAAACAATGTTCACGGGTTTGGAATTGTGTGTGCACAGTGGAGAAGTATAATCAGGACAGAAAGCGACTCTCCGGCTTTCGCAGCGCGAAACGTTTTTCGCTATGAGAAGTTTGGATCCACCACTGATCAGGCGTGGACCTGGAGTTCCCGCAGCGAAAAATGTTCCGCGCTGCCAAATGCGGAAATCCGCTCTTCGTCCCTATGACATAAAATCATTTAGTGTGCCAGTCGGTTTCCCACAACTTTTTCTCATCAACAATAAACTCATGGTTTTTGAACACGGCCATATTCATTAAATGATTATGTGTACGATTTCATTTGTTACAAGCTATAACTGAGGTTCATATCCACGATTTGCGCCATCCTTTCTTTGCTCGCTTTTTCGATTTCTTTTCCACAGTCCGGATGACGATGCTCGTTGGTGCGGCGGTCATTCGACCGTGTATCGACGAATAATCGGCTGCAACTGGTGCCGTCACCTCAACGGTGTTTGTTGACGACATCTTCTCCTCATCGGCGGATTTTGTAGATGTTTCTATTTTTGGTGGAAACCTTCTTCTCATGTCGTGGGCTCATATCACTAACGTACACTTTGCGCAATCGTCCTCGATGTCGACTGTTCATACTGCAGCTGTAGAACGGTCGGTCAGTCTTGCTACGAAGCGCGTTCAGACGGCTGAGGTAGCATCTGGCAAATTTACCCCGAATCGCTGGCAGTTCTCTGCTGGACTCACTTCTATCCGTGTCATTAGATCCGTCGTCAGCAGACCATTCCTCGTCATGCTCGACATCGTCAAACGCCAGTATGGCCTCCTTTCTTGGCTGAACTGAGCCCACTGTTTCCTTGTCTGTACCCTCAACGGCTGTATTAAATGTTTTGGACTTTTCTCTGCACGAGTCTTTTAGTAGTTTGTTAGAATCGCCCCTTCGTAACTTTTGAAACAATTGAGATGTTTCTGCGTGGCCTGCAGAGGGGCGTGGCTTTTTCTTTTTGCGTGTCTTTTTGTTTTCATTAGATGAAAGCTTCCTTCTTATGAATATTGGTTTGATCTTACGACGAGCTCGCGGAGCTTTGGCAGTCTTCAGTAGCAGCTCAGTGACCGGCAGTTCTTCGACATTTTGGCCTTGCTGTGGAACTCCGGCGATGCTTGACGCTTTCAACTTGAGCTCATCGAGATGTGTCCAGTCAGGTCCCTTTAGCTTCAAAGCTTTGAAGATCTTCTCCTGCTTGCTGGTGATGAATTCAGTAAGTCCTGAACGCGAAATCCGGAATGGTGGTTTCTTCCCGTACATCTCCCTAATCATCTTCGCAATCGCCTTAACGATGACCCCAACGGTCACCTCCTTGTTTCCCCTCATAAGGTCACGCAAAAAGGCACATGTAGACGATTTCCATTCCCCTTTTTACGCAGAGCTATGCACTTATCGATCTCCATCCCTTCAATTGACAAAGCTTCAGGCGGCGACCTTCAAAGACGGATTTTCTGGATTTTTCCACTCACACGAGGCGCCCGATCTTGGGCCTTGAGGATAAGACGCGTTGAGGAAGCCGTTGATTGTAGTCGAACACTTACGAAATCCACTGGGTCAAGCTTTAGCTGGTCAATAATGTAGCGCTGAACCTCCTCGATCACGCTGATCACAGCTGCTTTTGTCATGTGAAGTGAAGTTCCCTTCTTTTTGAAGAAAGTAGATCTGTCTCCATTTTCATGATGGCGCTGGCTATCTCGTCCACTGTGACCTCCTTTCTATGAAGGTGTGCGAAAACTGACTTTTTTTGCTTCTGATCGCTTATCGGTTAATCCATTATCCGCCAGCAGTTGCGAGCCATCTTCAGTGCCTCTCCTTGCACGGCGTGAAGCTTTTGCGCTCGTTCAACGGGATCATACGTGATCACAGGAGTTGTTTGACGAGTGTTCGCCATTCGTCGAGATTGCGAATACGGCTGCCGCATAAGGTAAACGGAAATGGCTTTCTGGTGGGTCCAATGCCATGTTTTCGTTCACGGGCGGCTCTTTGATGCGAAGACTTGACGATGTCTCTAACGATAGCCTCAGGATCGATGTCGTCGCTGGATTCGGTTGAGTCTTTAGCTTTACCTTCATCAATCTTCGCCTTTTTTCTTTCTTTTCTTTTCTGAAGCTCTGCTCTTCGTTCCTGTATGGCTCTGATGGCGTTATCGTAAAGATCTGAAAAATGTGATCGATCAGTTGGAATGGCTGTGATGTCCGAATTGGCTCTGATGAGCTTGAACTCAGATAACCAGACGGAAACTCGACTTTTCTGGAGTCAAGCTTCTATGATGTTCAAGAATTTAAAGGCAGGGGTCGGGTTCGATTTGGAGTATTATTTTGTTTAAGAATTAGGAAAGAAATGCGATGAGGAACGTGAGTGGAGAGAAAAAGCAAAAAGCGCCATAGAAAACACTGAAATTTCCCTTGTGGCGGCCGTGGTATGACGGAGAGACACAGCGCTGCGAGGAGAGGGAAACGCGAGAGAGTACGTCGTACGCGAGAGGGCGCAGACGCCACGTATGCCGCGGTTGATAGGTGGCAGCACGGCAGCACACAAGGCAAGGCCTTAGCGCCGTTGCCTCGCACTTTTGAGTCGCGACAGTGTCGCGACTCCTGCGCTTGGGGACCCCTCTTTCTCACTATAAGAGGGACTACCTCTTGGTACCTAATCCCGACCCGTGGCTTTAAACTTCTTTTCCCATAGCATCTCAACATTTGTGTTAGTTTTGAAAACACTAATTTTGAAAGACAATACTCAGATCTTATGCCACGCTTAGGCCCTTGAGAAAAGCAACAGGCTCTGATTGTGCCATCTGTGAATGCTTCTCCCAGCAACCTCATTACCCTACAAGGAAGGCCTAAAATGTCAAGATTCCTTTGTTATTTCGAGAGACCCTAAGCTGTTCACTGCTTCTGAGAGCAGAGCTTTCGTGAAGAAGTTTGGCCATCGAGCTAGCGGTCGTTTTGCGTTTTTGCCCATCGTCGACCGTTGACGAGTTTATAATCCGGATCCTTTTTGCGTGATAATGTGTATTTATTAGATTTTCGACACTTTGTGAACTATCTAGTTTCCTTATATGAACTACACAGCCTTTGATGAATTCTGCACCAACACTTTCCCACATTTTCTGACTACAGATGAATTTCTCAAGTTTAAGTTTCAGTTATTTATCAAGTGGAATGTACTGACCGGCAGCCTCCCACATCATTTTGGCGATATCTCGTTTGGGTACAGGCCTGGAATATAGCTTATTTATTGAAATAAAAGATGTTGAAGACTTAGACCAGCTCCTTTCAGACCATTGTCAAGTGGTTAGCCGTCACGACAGTGAAGTTTCATAAGGATTGAAGCAGATAGTGCATATCGTCTTGATCGCGTAGTCCACTTAGGTTCTATACTTTATGCTGCCTAATTTTGCCAAATGTAACAGAGATTACAGATAGGTTTTTCCTACAACACGCCTTACCCATTGACAGTTGACATGGAAGATATCAACTTCAGAAGACATGGGTAGAAGTGGTCGGGGCAGGAAAACCAGAAGGGCTCAGAAGCCGAGAAATGGGACCCTTTCTCTGCCTGTTGATTTCTGCATTAATGCAACTCGTTTGTGCTGCTCTTCAACGCTGAGATTCTCCCTTTCTTTCTCTCTCTACTGAACGACGGTGGGAGAGTGGGCGTGCCGCGGCCCTAGCGGCGCGGTATGGTGCTGGCTCGTTATGGGCATACTCTTGCGCATCATCCCGCATCCTTATTGGCCCGCCTGCCTTTCGTCTAGGTGTATTTGCCCTTCTCCACCTCCGACCTATCGTGGAATCCTCTTCAAAGATACACTGAACAGTTTGCGAATTCTAAGGAAGCTATGCGATCCAGTAGTGGAGGAAGCAAAAACCCAGTGCACGAGTAAGGCTTCTAATCAAATTAGGGCATTGTGCGAGTGTACAGGAAAGATATTTCGTATCCGGACGAGACTGACGTGGAGGTAACAATAGAGACAACAGAGACGAGGCTGTGAGGGAAGGTGGAAGTGATAGCGCTCCAGACTAATAAAAAGTTGTGGGTCGTTCCCAAGCTGTTTTCTGTCGCAGTGTAGCCCATGAATCCGCCGAAGACGAAGCCCTTCCTGACAGTTGAACGCCTTTCCTAAACTCATTGCTGCGGAATTCACGAAACATCAACATACTTGGGAGTATCAATTGTGCCATCCGAGTTGGGCGGTTTTTTCTCAGATATGGGGCCCGTCTCTAGATCGGAGACTGCGGTCTGAAAACATCATTCTCGATGCCTGTTATTCAATACATTATTGAGACACTTTACCTCGTCTCCTTCGTCGAGCAAGGACGGAGTACTGGTGTGTCCGAAGTACATTGTGCCTCTGCTCACATATGTGTTCTGTGGTAAGCTGCGACCCATTAGAGTGCTTGAAGGAGCTTCACTGTTGGAAGTGCTTGTACTTGGATTTGTTGTCTGCTTTAGGTTCACTAGAATGCGATGAAATGATGGTATAGCCTTA